TTTACGATTTTCTTACGCACCGTAAGATTTACGTAGTTTTACGCTAAATTTTACATAGGTTTACGATTTTCTTACGCACCGTAAAAACTTACGAAAGTTTACGCATATATATTTTTGCTGATGTTATATAGAACCAGATCAAAAAGTGTAAAAGAAAGAAAACATCTAGAAAACCCTCCATCTGGTTCAAAAGAATTGAAAAAACAGTTTTTGAAGATGTTGAGAAAAGAAGAGTTAAACCTGACTTAAGAAAAAAACTGCCAAATTATCTATTATCTTGAGTAAATACCCCTCTAATTAGTGATAAAGAAATGAGTGCTGATTAGATCTGGCAATACAGTAGAGATAAAAAAGATTGTAGAAAAGAGAGAAAAGAAAATAGCCATAACAGAATATTGGAAGACAACCCTGACCCCTATGAGAATATACTTATACTCACTAATATAAAGGATGCAACATAGATAAAGTAGAAAGTAGTAAAGCAGACTCCATTTGTACAAAGAGAAGTTGAAAAAGCAATACCCTAACAATTAGCCTAAGATTTATTCAGAAAATTCGCTCCCAGGATAAAAGACAAGAACTATACATCCCATTAAGCTGCTTTATAAGCTTATATTAGCAAGCAAGCCTATCTCCAAGTAGAAAAAAGAATACTCAAAAGTGATAGGTTAAAAATATCACAATTTATTCAATGGAGAATAAGGTAATAGATCAAGCTATTGAAAATATGCAAATAGCAAAAAAAATAAAAAAAGCAGTAGCCAAGCTAAAAAGTAAAAAGAAGATCTCTTTCTATACAAATGGGTCTCTGCTTAATCTAGCAGATAAATTGGAAAAAAAGAAAATAGGTTTTGGCTAGGTTGCAGTTTTGGGAAAAAGAAATAAAGCTAGCAGACAAGTACTAGCCAACTTTCATGGGGTAATAAAAGATTGGCCATCATCAACAAAAGCAGAACTTAATACAATATAAATAGCCTTTTTAGCAGCTCTATACAAAACTAAAATCAAGATCTGTACTGATAGTGTAGTAGCAATATAGGCAGTACAAGCAAGCCAAAAAGAGGAAAGAGCTACCAAGATACTAAAAAAAAAAACTTCTGCCTATTGAAACAAATATAGCAAACTATTGATCTAAAAGAGCTTAAAATCTGTATAGTGGAGTTAGAAAGCAGACAAGCTCACAAAAAAAGATGCTTATAGTACAAAAATAATCAACTCTAAATAGCCATGGAACAAACATGTAGCAACAGAGTTAAGATAGAAAGATCTGAGAGTGATAACTCAATACGAAGCTTTATTATATAACTAACTAAGGCCAGCATCAATATAAAGTAGAAAAATCTAAAAAACATAATTAAATGGGTTAATATTGTGCAAAAAACAAAAGCAATTGTGTGGGCAAAGTATGAAAAGACATAAGGTAAGTATGAGGAAGAAATTGCAAAAGTGCAATTCAAAATAAAGAGTAGATCTTTAAGATAAAGTGTCTAAATAGTCTGCTTCTGATGATACAAGTCCTAAATATGAGAAAGACAAAGCTATACTCAGACAATATATACAAGATATGTTAGCAAGAAGCTTAAATACAAGATTACCTTGCTGCCTGCTCAGAATTCCAGATAATGTGGTGTATTTTAGAAGAAGAAGTAAGCAAAGTACTTATAGAAAAGGCGACAAAGGAAAAAGAAAAGCTTGAAACCTTAGATACACAGAAGATACAAGAGTTAATCTTTGGCAAGAGTATACAAGAAAGAATCTTAGCAAAAAAAAGCTGATAAAGGAGTTAATTACAGAACAGAAACAAGAGAATATAAACATAATTATAAGTAAAGCAAGAAAGGTTAGCAAATTTATTCAAGCTATATTCAACCAATTCTAGTGCCAGTTCTTCAAGCACTTTTAGAGCTTCTAATATGAGTTGGTTACAGATTGGAAAAAGCAAAATGGTATAACCAAAGAGAAGAAAAGAAAAAAAGCTAGAAAAAGAAGGCCCAGAAGGAAGAATAAAGTGGACAAAGAAAATATCAATTCTCTAGCTACTGATTATAGGAAAGAAAGAGCAGAAGAAATTGATAGTAAAAAGAGGAGAAAAAAGATAGAGATAACGGAAGAAAGAGACAAAATAATTGAAGATTAGGTTTTATAAAGAAAAAAGCCAGCATGGTCTTTATTGGCTAAGACTCGACAAAAATTTCTGATAAGGTATACGACAGCTTACTTATAATTAAGGGAGGTATCAGTCATAATACAAAATCCTTAGTAAGTTAAGGATTTCAAAAGAGATAAACAGTTATTATAGCAGATCGTATTGAGTTTTCAACCTAGTAAGTCTTTATTGAGTTAGAGTAACAAAGTATAAAGATTTAGTATATTTGTATATAAATTATATAATAGTTTACATAAATAAAGGCAAGATTGCTTAAAAAAAATAAAAATAAAAATAAAAAAAAATCCTTTAACAGAAATGTAGTTTAACTAATCTATCAATTTGTTAAAGGGTTTTTGATTTATCTTGTTTTAAAAAAAGTTATAACAATTTAAAGTTTCTACTAATAAAGAGTGAATATATTTTACTGTCCAGTATTGTATAATATCTAAAAAATATCTATTTACTATGTATCTCCTCCCTCAGTATTGTCAATGGACATAAACATAAACATGAACTGTCAATAGGTATAGACATTTATGAACATGAACATATAAAAATATGGATGTCATGCCTATGAACATATAAAAATATAAACATTGAACATTGTGTCTATGAACTGTTTATGTCCAATAATTTGCTTAAACATATGTTCATATACAACACTGCCCTCCCCTACATAAGAACAATTGTAATTTGCTAATTAATCTTATACTATATGATTGTGTAATGATAGCACATATTTTTACTCACTCCTGTAAAAAATGTCAGTGTTCTTATCATGATAATATATTTAATCATGCGATGATTCAATTACTAAATACTGTTTTATACATATTGGCCGATTTTGATTTTTGGGCCTTTTTTAAATCAAAAGTTACACAAATTTTTGCTTTTAAGTAATATTAAAAAAGTAACAGACAAAGCACTTATACAACTAATTAAAGTGTTTTTTTAGGAGATGTGACGACTTAGTGTAGTAGTCTAGTTATCACCCTCTTCAAGTGGCAGGTCTAGAGTTCGAATCCCACAGACGACGATATTTGAAAAATAGGCTTATGTTCGGTTGACGGCTATGTATATCGGTTGGATCTAATCTGTAACTTCGGTTATACTATCTAGTAATAAGAGCAATGGTGCAATAAATCCAAGGAACCAGCATAACCAAAAACCCATTTGGAAAGTCCCAAGTTAGGAGTAACAATGATCTTTGATGGTATCACAAAAGGGCTGAATTTAAACCAGGGCCCGAGATCGAAAAACCGAACAACCAGGTCTTAATAGCGGAAGACACACCAGCCGAACTGCCGGGTTCTATCACACCAGAGGAAAAGAACATATGCTCCGAAAGTATGTACCAAGGGGAGGACATTCTTCAGGTATTTAAAGCCTGGGCAGACCGACCCTTCCGGGTTGCTAGCTAGAAATAAGGGAGAAACTAATAAAGAATCCAGGTAAGAAGACGGTCCAAATGCAGGTATTAGGGTTGTTGGGAACCTAATAAGAGTGGAAGTAGGTAATCACAGGGGTTCAATGATTAGCCCTGACTCCAAATACATGGGTAGAGCCATGGCGTAGATTACTGAAATCTAGATAAATATATATGTAGGACATGTGATATCTAGCAAAATGGGAATATTCCACTATTCAATGATCCAGAGGCACCCGAAGCCAGGATAAGCAAACTACAGACACCATGTAGACTAATGGTGAGGTAAATAGGGATTAACTACGACTATACCAGGCTGAAAGATTTGGTACGTCTCACTCAAAGGGTTTACAGAGATTTTGGAACTGTAACACCACAGGGGAAGGAACCTGGGACATTTGCAATTGTTAATAACTGATTAGAAAGGTTATGGTTTGAGATAGAGACTAGGTTACGGCAGCATCCCAAAAAGGCGGCTTGAGATATGAACTCGGTGATGGCAGTATAACAGGTACTAATAAGTTAGAGATTACCAATAATATACTGAATTTTTTGTTGTAAAAGCAATATGTTGTATAACACATTCACAATAATGAGTAATAAAGAGGCAGTGTTAAAAAAAAAAAATAAAAAAAAATAAAAATAAAGTGCTTTTTTAGTATTTAGACAAGATAAAAAACAAAAAAAATAAAATAAAACAGCTATGCTAAGCTGTAAAAAGACGTACTTTTACTGTTTGTTGATATATTTAGGTATTTTAGGATTGGTTCATTGTTGTTTGATTGGTTGTTAACTACCAAGAGTGAATTTGGAAGCAAATTTTTTTAAAAATGGCCTTTTTAACCTACTTTTGGTCTATAATAAAACATGTAAATCTCATGTTTAATTAGAAGTACAAAGTTTGTTAAAAAGACCATTTTTATAAAAATTTGCTTCATAAAAATTTTAAGCATAAAATTTTTGAAAATCCTCAATTATGATTGGCTGATTTTGGGGTCAACCCAAAATCAGCCGATATGATGAATATTGTAGTAATTGACATTCGAAAAATATTAAAAATGGTATCCACAAAAAAAATCATTTTTGGGTCAACTACTCCAAAACACCAAAGGCTTTAAAGTGGTTTAAAGGAAATTATTATTGCAGATAAAAATATCTTATTTAAAAACATATGAATGGTCGTTATTATTAATAAGTTGCTAAAAAGACATTCATTATTAAGCCTGGAAAGAAAAGCCATAAGATAGAATTTTACTTGCTAACATATTTAACAAACTTTACAATTTATTATTAAAATGCGATCAACCACACTATCAAACTTCTCTTTACTCTGATAGTCATTTAGACTTGGATGGATCAAAATTTAATAAGCAATTATTTATAAGATCACATGAAGAAGGTATTCTTCTTACAAAAATAAAGATTATGAAACAGCCTAGAAGATTTTTGAGTATTGTGCGGAGCTAGGAAGTAGCACTGCAAAATTTTGAAAAGCACGTTATCTAGCTGAGGGAACCTCTGTAAGCAAAGACGTAATACAAGCTGCCGATTTATTTAAAGAAGCTGAAGATAATAATACGGATGCTTGTTTCTGCTATACGCTTTTGATGACCGATAAGAGTTCAGGTGTGAAGTTTAACTGTCTAACTTAGATACAGATTATACAGATTTGGGCACTAAGTATTTAAAATTAGCAGCACTAAATGGCCATTCAGAGGCTGAATAAATTCCAAAAGAGAGAAATATAAATATTAATATTTCACTATATAGTTATCATTGTAGCTGATGCATGTCTATTTGAATATATAATAAAATTGCCAAATAACTATAAATTTACTTTATTACAATACAATCCTTATTCTCCAGTTTAAGAATTAGATTTATTTAAATTATAAGCCTAATTTATAATATAAATATAAAACTGTAAAAGATGATCAAAATAAATATATAATAAACAAATACAAACGGTTGTATATTAAAAAGCGAGATTCTATAATGTACTTCAAATAAATAGAAATGAAATAAAGAAAAAAAAACTTTAAACAGTGATAATAACTATATTATGAACAAAAATCGCCTAAAATCTGTAAAAATAATTATAATTTTTAGGTGAAAATCATGATTGATTCTTCTCTTTACTTATTTATTTCTTCCTCAATTTCATCTACTTCAACTCAAATTATAATTTTTGACTAATTATAAAAACTAATATCAATATAGGTTTACACTGAAATTTATATCTACTCTAAGACCAATATTCATAGTAACTAGTCATTATTGAAAGAACTTCAATAAATTTAGGTTCAAATCATAAAAACCTTCAATGATGCACCTATGAATAGTATATAGTTATTGATTGCTTCACATCTAATAACTATCAATATTTCTTTGTACCTTTATTATTTCTTCATATCTTTATTTGTCGTCGTAATAGGTTTGCTAGTATACTTATCATTTTGATGTTTTCGCATGATATCCGGTAATGTTTTAATAATTTCATCACCTTTTAAAAATTTCTCTTTTATGCAAAGTTTATCAGTTTTATTATCATAATAAACCTGTTTCCAAAGATAATAAAGCTTTAAGTAAATTTTATTTGCAGTAGGTCGTTTCTGTAGATTTGTATCCATACATCTTTTAGCTAACCTAATGTAATATTCTGGAGTTCCATCACCAAATCCAGGTTGCAACCCCTCCTAATCTTTGTCATAAGTTTCGTAGATTCCTTCTCGAGATCATAATCATCAAAAGGTCTTTGCCCAGATGACATTTCTGTCATAATAATGCCTAGTCTATAAATATCAGAAGCTGGTATATATCTTTGACCTTGTAAAACTTCAGGTGCAACATAAGATAGAACTCCATAAATTTCATCTGTTTGATTTTGTTCTTCAATTTTTTTAGATAATCCAAGATCTGCAATGTAAGAAAATATAGATCCACCAATTTTATTTTGCAAAATATTTTCACTATGAAAATTACTGTGTGTATATCCTGCTTTGTGAATTTTTACTAAATCATTTGATATATTAATAAGTTGCAATAATTTATCATTCCATGTAAGTTCTTTAAATTTCTTTTCTAAAAAATCATTAAGACTTCCACTATCAGCAAGTTGAAGTACCATCAGATAGTTACCAGCCTTAAGTTCAAGATGATCATTGTTTTCTGTACATTTAGTTAATCCATATATTCCTAATTCACTACCCATTAATCTACACCGCATATGATTTTTAAACTTATTAAATGAACTAATATTAATATATTTGTTTCATATGTTAATTGCTTAAACTGATGTTAAAAAACAAATTCAGCTTACTTCTTTTAAACATTCAGAAGAATCTTAAGCACTTTTCCAAGTTTTGAGCGCAACCTTCGATGATTTTTCACGTGATCTTACATAGTTACCATTACTATGTCTATTAGTTACTCGCACGCCATTTAACCAAGTTGCTGAAAATACTGATCCATAACCTCCAACACCAATTTTTTGAATATTGAATAGTTCATTAAACAGAATCTATTCAATCACTTCATTATGCATTATAGCTTTGTGCTGAAATTCTTTAATAAGGTCTTTAATATTATTATCAACATTTTCATCTTCACTAGACCATCCTTGAGCAATTGTTTCGGAATCACACGTCTGACACCAGGCATAAAATGTGTTATCTTGTTCATATTTATTACATGTTCCAAAATAAGATTTTCTAAGTATTTATTAATTTTTTGCCATCAGCTATTTATACATTCTCATGAGACAAATTAAATGTAAAATATCAATACTGTACTCACCGTCTAGTTTAATGTGTAAGAAAATAACAGTTAACAAATGAGAGAATAGAAAATATATAATTCGTTCGTTCGTTGATAATAAAATATGTTGATCTTTTTTTATGATTAAAATTCTATACTTATTCCCTGTTGATTTAACATGCACATAGCATAAACAGATAAAAAAACAACAGATAAGAGAAAGAATAATTAATAGAAAAATCTAATTCGTTTGTTCGTTGATAATAAAAATATGTTGATCTTTTTATGATTAAAATTCTATAATTACCGTCTATTAGTTTAGCACATAGTGTAGACAGATAAAAAAAATAACAGATAAAAGAATAATTAATAGAAAAATATAATTTTTGTTGATAATAAAATATGATGATCTTTTTTATAATTAAAATTCTACATTTACACACTGTCGAATTAATATACATATAGGATAAACAGGTAAAAAAATAACAGATAAGAAAGAATAATTAATAGAAAAATATAATTTGTTTGTTCGTTGATAATAAGATCTTAGTTTATGATTAAATTCTATACTTACTCCCTGTTAATTTAACACACACATAGCATTAAGAGAAAGAATAATTAATAAAAAAGTCTAATTCATTGATAATAAAATATGTTGATCTTAAAATTCTATACTTACTCCTTGTTAATTCAACATATAGCATAAACAGATAAAAAATAACAAATAAGAAATAGAAAAATATAATTCGTTTGTTTGTTGATAATAAATTATAATCTTTTTTTATGATTAAAATTCTACACTTACTTCCTGTTGATTTAACACATATATAGGATAAACAGATAAAAAAATAACAGAGAAAGAATAATTAATAGAAAGTATAATTCGTTTGTTCATTAATAATAAAATATCATATGATCTTTTTTTATGATTAAAATTCTACACTTACATTCTATTAGTTTGGCACATAGCATAAAAATAACAGATAAGAGAAAGAATAATTAGTAGAAAATATGGGCTGCCGTCCGTCAACAGAAATCAGGCAGATTGACATTTTTAAAAAAATCTATACCTCAACTTTCATAGCTTATATATCGATGAATTTTGATACTATTTTGAAAGAAAGCTTAGAACTGAATTTTTCTTTTGAATATTAAATCATCTAACTAGCTTTCAAATATGAGCTGTGAAAGTTGAGGTATAGATTTTTTTAAAAATGTCAATCTGCCTGATTTTTATTGACGGACGGCAGCCCTTATAATTCGTTTGTTCGTTGATTATAAAATATATTGATCTTTTTTTTATGATTAAAATTTCACACTTACTTCCTGTTGATTTAATATACGTATAGTATAAAATAACAGATCAAAGAAAGATAATTAATAGAAAAATATAATTTGTTTGTTCATTGATAATAAAATATATTGATTTTTTTTTATGATTAAAATTCTACACTTACTTTCTGTTTATTTAACACATATAGCATAAAATAATATAAGATAAAGAGTAATTAATAGAAAATATAATTTATTTGTTCGTTGATAATAAAATATATTATGATTAAAATTCTATACTTACAATCTATTAGTTTAGCATGTAGCATAAACAGATAAAAAAAATAAAAGATAAGAGAAAAAATAATTAATAGAAAAATATAATTTGGTTGTTCATTGATAATAAGATCTTAGTTAATGATTAAATTCTATACTTACTCCCTATTAATATAGTATAAAATAACAGATAAGAGAACGAATAATTAATAGAAAAATCTAATTTGTTGATAATAAAATGTGTTATCTTTTTTTATAATTAAAATTCTATACTTACAATCTATTAGTTTTGCACGTAGCATAAACAGATAAAAAAAAATAACAGATAAAAAAAAGAATAATTAATAGAAAATATAATTCGTTTGTTTGCTGATAATAAAATATGTTGATTTTTTTTATAATTAAAATTCTACACTTACGCACTGGCATATAGCAAAAATAACAGATAAGAGAAAGAATAATTCATTTGTTTGTTGATAATAATCTTTTTTTATGATTAAAATTCTACACTTACTTCCTGTTGATATAACATAAACAGATAAGATAATAATGGTTAAGAGAAAGAATAATCAATAGAAAAATATAATTCATTTGTTCATTGATAATAAAATATATTGATCTTTTTTTATGATTAAAATTCTATACTTACTTCCTGTTAATTTAACATGCACATAGCATAAACAGATAAAAAAATAACAGATAAGAGAAAGAATAATTAATAGAAAAATATAATTTGTTTGTTCATTGATAATAAAATATGTTGATCTTTTTTATGATTAAAATTCTACACTTACGCACTGTTGATTTAAAATATACGTGGCATAAGAGAGAATAATTTGTTTGTTCGTTGATAATAAAATACGTTGATCTTTTTTTATACTTACTTCCTGTTGATTTAACACACACAAGATAAACAGATAAAAAAATAAAAAAATAATTAATAGAAAAATATAATTCATTTGTTTGTTGATAATAAAATATGATCTTTTTTTATGATTAAAATTCCACACTTACGTTCTATTACAATATTAGTTTAGCATATAGCATAAACAGATAAAAAAAATAACAGATAAGAGAAAGAATAATTAATAGAAAAATATAATTTGTTGTTCGTTGATATACCTTTTTTCTACCAAATTCGCAAAATATGCAGTCAAATTTGTATAATATGCAATCTAATTCAAATAGCATGCAATCAAATTCATGTCTCAACCAAATTCGTATCTCAACCAAATTCATGTCCCAATCAAATTCGTATCTCAACCAAATTCATGTTTCAATCAATTTCATATCTCAACCAATTTCGTATATATCCTAATCAATTTCATGTCTCAAACAATTTCATATATATCCCAACCAATTTCGTGACTAACCAATTTTGTGTTTAACCAATTTCGAATCCCAACCAATTTCATGTCCTAACCAATTTCATGTCTAACCAATTTCGTGCCCCAACCAATTTCGTGTCCAACCAATTTCATGTCCAACCAATTTCGTATCTCAACCAATTTCATATCCCAACCAATTTCATGTCCCAACCAATTTCGTACCAACCAATTTCGTGTCTTAACCAATTTTGTATTCCAACCAATTTCGTGACTAACCAATTTCGTGTCCAACCAATTTCGTGTCCAACCAATTTCATGTCCCAACCAATTTCGTGTCCAACCAATTTCGAATCCCAACCAATTTCATGTCCTAACCAATTTCGTGTCTAACCAATTTTGTGTCCCAACCAATTTCGTGTCCAACCAATTTCGTGTCCAACCAATTTCGTATCTCAACCAATTTCGTGTCCTAACCAATTTCGTGTCCTAACCAATTTCGTGACCAACCAATTTCGTGTCTCAACCAATCTCGTGACCAATCAATTTCGTGACCAACCCATTTTGCATCTTAACCAATTTCATATTCTAACCAATTTCCGTAACCAACTTCATTCCTATAGTAATGTGAAGCAGTTAAGGTTGAGTTGGTTTGTATTATAATTAAATTGATTATTTGCTTTTTCAAAATAACTATGTTTGGGTTTTTATTGGATATTCCACATATCATTATATTTCACACAACAAGTCTAGGTTACAGACTAAAATTAGATATGAAGTTCTCAATTACTTTTGGATCTGACAAATATGTAAAGATACAGAATCTCAAAACTGACAAACTGCTAGAGAATTAGCTAATATACTAAATCAATTTAAAAGATGATAAAACTAAATTATGTGTCACAGGCAGGATCAATTCCCGGTAAAATGTGGTAAGGGGAGTGATAATAAAGGCAGAATTCAAGTAAAGAAAAGAGGTAAGTTATGGAAAAAAAACCTCCGAATATACAATAATAAAGGTGAAGAGTAATTTGATACTTAAGAAATACCAAGTCTAAACAATTTCTTGAACATGTGAGATACTGATCAGGTCTCGAGCATTTGATTATCTAGAGCTAATCAGAGCATCAATTATGGCTAAAGAAAATGCCATATTGTCATGGTCCCCAATGGTCCTTTATTTAAATTAATCGGAACTGCTATAATTTTCTGATCTTTTCCCTAATACGACGTTTGTACGTTTTTCAAGAAATAGAGTTATGTAGCTTTTATTTACTTATTTATGTGTGAACAAATAATCAGATACTTGTATTTATTTTATTTTTTCTTGAGCAAAAGAGAAGAACTCTCTTCTTTTCTTTTATTTTTCATTCCTCTTATATGCATATTTGGCTCAAATTAATTACATTAGTATTTACCCTTCGATATTAAACTTACATCTTAATTACATAAAGATTTGGTCATATAAGATTTGACTCTTATTCTTAATTACAGATATCTTATGTGTCTTAACTGATTCTTAATAGATTTAACTGACTTGCATAATTGCCCCGAATAATCAAGTGCTCGTGACCTGATCGGTAGCACACATGTTTACAAATTCGTCAAAACCCCTTTTCTCTCTTCCTCTTCCTTTCACCAAAGAACCGATCCAGCCCATGATATATAACATAAATACCTGCATAATACCTTATTATGCAAAACCATAAATAATACATCCAATTGGAACTATTAAATTTAAGACTTATATTCTCACACTCTTAAGTGCCTTTTATGCTTGTAGTCCAGAACTTATTTAGCAGTTAAATTTAAAAGTCTCTCTCCATAGTTAAGGATTAGTTGTATTATAATTAACATAATTTGTAAAGATAGTAAATGGTTAATAGTGAGTTTGAGTTTGTATAATATAATTTGTATTAGTAAATAAAAAAAAACTTACAAACCTTATGCTTTGTGGCAGGGATACAATTACCGGTAATCGTTTCTTATATATGCACATATCACTTAGAGTCAACTAATTAATGTAAATATAAGGTAAGAATTCAAAACTTAAATAGCTTCAAATAATTGGACTATTAAATATTTCTTATGTTCAAGCACTATTGCTATGTATATTACTGTATTATATTTAAATTGAATAATTATTTAAAAATCAGACATAAAATATTCATTATACTTATGTATAAGATAAAATTAAATAAAAATAATTCGAAAAGATTTAGATTTATTCATAATTATAGAGTTTTTTTTCTTATAAAATCTGGATATTCGTAAAGGAGTCAATTTTAAATTAAATATATATTTTAACACTCTTACATTGTTATTGCGAAATTAGTGTGTATTTAGAAAGGTTATATACGTGGGCATATTTAGAGAGAATTAATTATAATACTTAAATTTAAGTAATTTAAGTAATTTAAGTAATTTAAATAATTTTAAATAATTTTAGGAATTATCATCATTTAAATGATATTTAAATAAAGTGGGTTTTTTTCTTTCACTCAACTAATATTAAATTTGAACTATGAGAAATCAAAGATATCCTTATT